GGCAGCCTGGCTCACCCCTGCCCTGCCGTGGCCGGGACCCCTCACGCCCCACGGGGAGACCACCGTCCTCTCTGGGGGCTCCGGGTCTGCTCAGGGCCGGGCCGGCCCCTCGTGAGAGCCAGTCCCCGAGGGAGGACACGGCGCGCCCCACCTGCCACCTCTGCCGGGCTCTGGGGGACAGATCGCCTTTTTTTCTTCCAGGACGGAATAAAAATACCCTCCATTTAGGAGCTCTGATAGACGGCAGGGAACCAGGTCAGGACACGCAAGCGCCTCGCCCCTCCCCGACCTACTTCGCGCGGCGGCGGAGCCGGGGCGCTGCGGGGTGGGAGAGGGGCTGCGGGGCGCCCTGGCTTCCGCGGGGCAGGGGCCTGGGGACGGGACACCGCGGAGGAAGGGCGTGGATCCCCCCGAAGGAGGGGTAAGAGTGGGAACGGGAGCAGGGACCGCGCGGGCTGGAGCGGGCGGGTTCCCGGCACCGGGGTCGGAAAGAAGACCTCGGGAGGGAGACAGCTGGCGGCCCCCCGCGCTCTTGGAACGCCAGCTCCTGCTTCCTCGGGGCCCAGAGGCGGCTTCCTCCAGCCCCAAGCCCGCTGTCCTCTTGCGAGGGGACCACCCAGGGCCTGCCCGTGAGTTCTTGATGCCTGGCCGAAATCCCCAGGGGCCGGCCCTCCAGCAGGCTGGAGAGAGGAGGCCGCCTCCAGCTGCGGCTTCTTGCTGCCCTCAAGTGGCCACGGGATGAGCCGCAGAGGCTGGTGTCCGCGGCGTCCCCCTGCCCGGGGGCTGCGGGGAGGTCGAGGTGGGAGGACGAATTCCAGCGGCGGTCCCCGTGCGTCTTGCGCATCCCCCCCTCTAGGGCGCCCCGTGGTCCGTCTCCTAAAGGCTCTTAGAAGGGCTCAGGCTGAAGCAAACACTTGGAAATAGTAGAAGCGAGTCGCATGCCATCTTTTAAAAAGGTAAGCAGCTAGGACGGAATCACCGGGAGGGAGTGTTAAAACTCTCTGGACTCCAATCTCAGTTTTGTCACTCGCTAGGGCCGGGCCGGGTCAGTTCCCCAGGCGATGCCGCTGGTCCCGGGACCACATTTTGAGAAGCACTGCTCCCGAAGTCCCCCGCACCGCTCTCCGTCTGCCCGAAAGAGAGAAAGGTGGCCAAGGAAATCTCAACATCAAAGTGAGAGAAAAAGAAACAGTTTTAAAGACAAAGCTCGGGAAAAGTGAGCCAGGGGGCACCCGGATTTGAACCGGGGACCTCTTGATCTGCAGTCAAATGCTCTACCACTGAGCTATACCCCCTCTGCCAGTGTGGTGGCGCGAGTGGCCTCTTAGTGCTACTGCTGCGCAGGCGCCAGGGCGCGCTCCCCGCCCCCAAAAGTGGGAAGTGGAGTCCGATGTTCACGCTGAAGGGAAAAAAATAGAAACCCCAGATCACTCCCTTGGAAGCAGGGACTATGCCCTGAGACTCTGAACTAAAGATTCCTGCGGATGGTGCGACGAAATGCCTTCTGGGGGTGTGGCAGGGGAAGTCTCTCGGGATCTTTCGAGATCCTTCACTTCGGGGCGTTCCTCTAGCCTGGGGTACCCCTCTTCTGCCCTGCTGGAGCCCCCTTACTGCTTCTCGGGGCGGCCTCTTTCCCCCTCGCACGTGCTCTCGCGGCTTCTCCGGGCCTTTCTTCCCCAGCCCGGCTGGCCCTTAGAAGCCCCGCCCCGTTCCCCGCCGTTGAAGAGCCGCCAGGGTCGCCGGCCAGGCCGACCGCGGGGTGCGCCCGCTCCGCCCTCGGGTTACACGAAGGGGCCAACTCTCGGGTGCCCCCGTGTCAGCCCGGAGCTCCTCGCAGTGCCTGCCACCTGGGTCACGAGCACAGGTTGAAACACTGGCAGGGCCCAGGACCATCCTCACCCGTCTGCAAAAGAGGGCAGCCGGGCGGGCTCCCTCCATCCAACTCCATGGGCGCAGTGACCCCTCGGTAGACTTGGAGACCAGCAAAATGTGAGCGGCGAGAGGGGGCACCCGGATTTGAACCGGGGACCTCTTGATCTGCAGTCAAATGCTCTGCCACTGAGCTATACCCCCGGCATGCATGTGCTTTCTCATTAGAATAATTTTCCGTGGAAGAAAGGCGTGGTCTTCCCTGCTTCCCTTTAGCTTTGATCTGAGGGATCAGTCCGGATAACCTCATGGATAAAACACTGGCAGGACGGCTAGAATTCCTAAATTCTTCTTCCATAGTCATGCCTCGGATTAAACCACAAGATGAAGGCATGCTGATTCGTCTGTGTCGGCACCCAAACTCTCCCGCAAATGTCCACTGCCTAGTTTAGGAAAGGGATGTTCCCCAGGGCCATCCCAGGTCTAGGGATATACAGCCCAGATCTCCATTTTGTCTCTAGATCTACCTGGATGGGACTCCTGGGTCCCTCCTCCCCTCCCCCATGAGTCACCATCAAACCACTCCCTCCCCTAATCCCAGGCCGAGGCTAGAGAGCCCAGTCCTGGCTCTCAGGGACCAGTGCCCTTCAGCCTGGCAGAGGGTGGTGGGGTCCAGGGCCAAGAAGCCAGTCCCCTTGCCAGATGGGTCCTTGAGACAGCTCTTGCCATTTCCAAGGCAGATTTGCCCAAGAGCTCTGCACAAAACCAAAAGCCAGCCGGGCTCAGTGGCTCAGCCTGTAATCCTGCGCCTTTGGAAGGCTGAGGTGAGTGGATTGG